GGGGCGGCAAGGGGGCCGCCGCGATGCCAAACGAAAATATCTTCCTGTTTGTGCCTAACCTAATTGGTGAGTGCTGCCCACGGCGCCGGGCCGGAGCGCAGGGAGAGGGGCCTTGGGCAGCCCTCCTGATCCCGCCCCATCCGTCTCCCCCGTCCCATCCCAAGGTTATGCCCGGATCGTCTTCGCCATCATTTCTTTCTACTTCATGCCCTGCTGCCCCCTCACGGCCTCCTCCTTCTACCTGCTGAGCGGACTCCTGGACGCTTTCGATGGATACGCTGCGCGAATCCTTAATCAAGGTGACAGACAACTCCTCCCAGCCAACCTTGAGGCACAACAACCCGCTGCTCCCTTTTCCTGCCTCCTGGCGACCTGAGGGTGGGCAGGTGCCCTGGGATCCAAGGACGCTGTCATTCTCATCTCTGTCGAGCAGAACTGCGTGGCCTGGTTTTGCAGAAGGGGTTTAAGCGAGCTGTCGGGGAGAACCCACTGATAGGGAGGGGGTGTCATAGCAAGACTGGGTGGGCAGTGAAGTGCCGGAGGTCTTTGAGTCAATGTCCTCCAACAGGTGTGTCCTGGATGCTACTGTGCCCGGCACAGCGATCCCGGTCCCCGAGGCCTGCTAGAGGGCGGTGCAGGGCAAGGGAGGTGGCATCTGGAGGGCTGAGTCTCTGCCCCAGGCCCACCTCCAGACTTCCCCTACACCTGGACCCTTGGTTCTGGGATTGATGAGTTACCTGTAAACTTGCTTTTTCACCCCCACCCTGCCCCCCATCTCCACTCTCTCTCCACACTCCCATGCCTCCTCATTTCATGTCATGGTGGACTTTGCCCGTTGACCTCGCACCCGTGGGGCAGCCTGCTTTCCTCCCAGGCAGTGGATGGTGGACATTCTTCATCTTTTACACTTTGCATCAGAGCGATGCACACCTATGGCCCCTGTTGTCGATCCGCTGCCCCCAAACAGTTTCCTCCCAACTCACAGCCCCCGTTTTTCAGGGACCCGGTTTGGGGCCATGCTGGACATGCTGACCGACCGCTGCGCCACCATGTGCCTGCTGGTCAACCTGGCCCTGCTCTACCCTCGTGCCACCCTGCTCTTCCAGCTCAGCATGAGCCTGGATGTGGCCAGCCACTGGCTGCACCTCCACAGGTCTGCAGCTCTGGGGGTGCTGGCCTGCTGAAGGGAGGGGTGAGACGGCCGGAGGGTGTCTGGGATGGCTTCAGGCTTCTGAGAGGTCTTTTCAGCTTGCCTTGAACAACCATGGCAGGTCCTCTCTGGGTGAACTTCAGTTTTGTTTACAGTTGGGTTAAGCAATCCCTAAAACGCTTCTGATCGGATAGTCAAGGCTTCCAAATAGCTAACGGCTCCTAGGAACGGGAACGGGGGCTTTTGAATGTGGCATTTGAATGCTGCCTTGTCCCCAACTAGGTAATCGTGTGGCTTTGGGCCAAACTGGTGCTCAGCTGGGCTCCAGGTCCTCCTGGGTACAGCAGAGGCAATCCCAGGACCCTCCTCGTGGTGGCTGTGAAAGGCTTAGGTGGGTGTCGGCGGTAATGAATGCTCATGGATTCCTCTGCTTTCTCCCCAAGTTCTGTGGTCCGCGGCAGTGAAAGTCACAAGATGATCGACCTGTCGGGAAACCGGGTGCTTCGGATCTACTACACCTCCCGAGTGAGCATTTCCTCCCCCCTCACTTACTCAAACCCTGGGCGGTGCCTGGTCCCAGGGGAGGAGAGCCCTGCAAGCTGAGGTGTGGGGGTGGGAGGGCCTGGAATCGTTTGGGCAGTAGGTGGTTTTTGAAGAGAGAAGTAATATCCTGCGGTTACTCTTTATTCCTCCCTGCCATCCACTCCCTTACTTCCCCAGGACACTTCCAGCTCCCCATCCTCACAGAGATTGGCCCCGGTTCCTGTGTGTGTTGGGGGTGGGGGAGGTTTGCACACTGCCCCGCCCTCTTGTTTAAGCCGCCCGTTTGCTCTTTGTGCAGCCTGCGCTGTTTACCCTGTGTGCTGGAAATGAACTCTTCTACTGCCTCCTTTACCTGTTGAGTTTCTCCGAGGGACCTTTAGGTAGGCGATGAGGGGCAGGGCTGGAGGGCGGGGGGGTTCTGGCCTGCTCAGGGAGATGTGGGCCCTCCCCCTCGCCCGCGTCCCGTCTTCTCAGCATTGCCCTGCTCCCTCCCCCAGTCGGCTCTGTGGGCCTTTTCCGACTGGGACTGTGGGTCACCGCCCCTGTCGCCTTGCTGAAGTCCCTCATCAGCGTCATCCACCTGATCACCGCCGCCCGCAACATGGCTGCCCTGGATGCGGCTGACCGCGCCAAGAAGAAGTGACCTCGGAATTCCAGCCCCTGCGGCCCCCCTGCCCTGGGAGTCTCCTGTGTCACAGGCTGCCCTCTTCCTCCGAGGAGATCCAGGCTCTGTCTTCCTAATGTGTCCAACCCGCTGGAAGTGGGTCAGGCCAGTCCCACCCCTCGGCTCCAAATCAGGAAGGATGCTCAGGCGACCCCGCCCACACAGGCAGCGCTTCCCGGGCACCAGGAGGCTGGCTTAGGGCTGGGCACCGTCACCCCTGCTGGCTTAGCCCTGGGGTCTGGCTTGGCCCGAGACTGGAGGGCACTGTGTGAGGGAGATGGGGTCGGGGCGGGGTACCGGAACTCTGCCCCCGGCCAGAGGAATCCTGCAGGTCCTGTGCTGGGCACAAGGAGCCGTCGGGATCCTTCCCCATTGCAGCTCCCTCTGTCCCGTCGGCCCCAGCCCTGAGAACTTGGATAACAAAGGGGCTTCACTGTCCTGGACCTGCGTCCCTGTGAAATACTCCAGGACGGGGGCCTGGGTGAGGGAGCTTGGGGAAGAAGGAAGGTCCCTGGGGCTGCTTCTCCCTCCGTGTGGACTGGCTAGGTCCTTCCTCTCATTCCACAGAGACCTCCCTGCCGCCCAAGGTCAGGCTATGTGCCCTGCCCCCCTGCTTCATTTCCTCCCCGACACTGTCAGGAGCTGTCTGCATTTATTCCTGTCCCTGGTGTTTTCTAGCCCCTAGAATGTAAACCCCACAAGGGCACGGACTTTTCTTGCTCCTTCTCTATCCCCCCATGAAGATGTACCTGAGCCGGGCCTATTGTAGCCGCTTAATAAATATTCACAAGGACCAGCTGGTTTCTCAGTGAAGTCTTTAGACCACCTGTGGGGTATTTTTTTTTCCTTTTAATTCAGCTTCTAGAACATTGAACCAGAGTTGGAGTCTCTATGGATGGGCCCAGAAGTCTGCAATTTTAATAATCTCCAAGTGATCAGTTCTTCCCGAGAAGGTCGAGAATCACTGTTCCTTCTTAAACGTTTTTTGGGCACCTACTGGATGGCAGGCATTGTTCTGGGCATCTGTCCACGCAGCCATCTCTGCCCTCTGAGCTTTCTCTGCTGTCCGGCACTGGCTTTTTGTGTGTGTTTTTTTTAACTATATTGAGCTTACCATATGCCGGCCTGCGCTGGGGTTGTTTGCAGCTGTTACTCGTTTTATTCTTATCCTAGCGTAGCCGGGGGCCCACAGGTCCAGAGAGCTGAAACTCAGCAGGTGTGTGCTGAGCGGAGGTCACAGGCCAGCGGGGGACCTGGTCATGCGTTTAGGGAGGATTAGGGAGGTGTTCGTTGGGGAATAGGAGTAGGCAGTGCTGTGAAGTAGGTGCTGGTGAAGGGTGTGGGCAATTTGGGAAGCTGGTCGGGTTTGTAGACAGAAGAAGACAGGAGAGGGCTGGTTTTCAGCTGAGGACAGAGGCCAGAGAGCTAGTTTCGGAAATGGAACCTGATGAGATCATGTTGCTGAAATGTGCTGGGGGTTGGGGGTGGAGAACTAGTGAGAAATTGGGGGGAGCCATCAGCGGCCTGAGGAGCTCAGTAGGGCATTTGGATTATCCTAGGGCCACATGGAGCCATTGAAGTGATCTTTCAAAATAATAGGCAAAATATTACCAGGGGAAAAAATTAGGTTACAGACTAAAAAAAAAAGAATGATGAGCCCTGGCTGGTGTGTCTCAGTTGATTGGGCATCTCCCTGTGCACCATCAAAAGGTTGCTGGTTTGCCCTAGCCGGTTTGGCTCAGTGGATAGAGCGTCGGCTTGCGGACTGAGGGTCCCAGGTTCAATTCCAGTCAAGGGCACATGCCAGGGTTATGGGCTCAATCCCTAGTAGGGGGTGTGCAGGAGGCAGCTGATCAATGATTCTCATCATTGATGTTTCTATCTTTCTCCCTCTTCCTCTCTGAAATCAATAAAAAATAAAAATAAAAAAGGTTGCTGGTTTGATTCCTGATTAGGACACATGCCCAGATCGTGGGCTCGATCCCCGGTAGGGGGCATGCTCTCACACAGATGTTTCTCTTTCTCCCTTGCCATGTCCCTCTCTCTCAAAATCAACTTTTCAAAGGGTGATGAAGGCAACTGGCTAGGTCCTTCCAGAGGCGACCACTGCCACTCATTGCTATGTACCTGTCTAAACGCACCCTTACACATATGTCTTAAAATATTTTATATACGCTGTTCTGCTAACGAGCTACCCCTGCTCCAGGTGCTTTTGACTTGTATTATTCTACTTGAACTGATGCCTACACTGTAGTGTGTCCTAAGCTATACAACAAGCCTTTTCCACAAAGGAAAGGTCCTGAGGAGGCGGCCAGGCTGGCTGGCTTGGCTGCGGAGCCTTCCCATCCGCACACACAGCAGTCCAACGAGTGGTCTTCTTAATGGTGGTGTAGGACCCATCACTTGTTTAATCAGGTCGCGCCGTGGGAGCAACGCTGCAGTAAGTCGCCTGGACTCTCCGGGGGGCACCTGTAGGAGTGTTAGCACGGCGACAGGGACACATTTACACTCGAGGAAGACAGTCACAAGCTGAGCGGCCCCTTCAGCTCCGCAGGTGTCCTCCTACCTGGCCTGGCCCTGTCAGTCAAGGTGTGAGAATTCCTTCATCCTTCCTGCGTCAACTCCTCCAGCCAATGAGCCCTCGAGCCCTCTGTCCCTGGATGGCCCTGGATCTTGGGCCCTAACCTTTTGTAGTAACGTCAGGCGTCTAACTACGTAAATCCAGCTACTGACCTGAAAAAGGCGAGGGAGCGTTGGGCAAGAGGGTGAGCATCTCCCACTCAATAGAATATGGGCCAAGGCCTGAGGACAGCGTGGTGCCTTTGGTCCCATATCCAGCGACTCGTCTAAGCTCAGGAGGAACCTGTGGAGGAGGAGCCTGTGTGTGCAGCCTCGGGCCACCTGGGACCGCCCGGAGGAGGGTCGTCTCGGCTGAATTGGAGTCACCTGGGGAACGTGGTGGAGTCACTTATACTAGCGTATTGCTATGGTCTGAACGTGTGTTTGCAACATTCATGCGTGGAAACCCAGTGCCCTGTGTGACGGTGTTTGGAGGTGGGGCCTTTAGGACGTGATTAGGTCACAGGCCCTCATGGATGGGGTTAGCGCCCCTGATAAAAGAGACCCGTGGACACAGCTAGAAGGCACTGGCTGTGATAGGAAGAGGGGCGTCACCAGAACGTGACCTGCTGGTGCCTTAATCCTGGACTTGCAGCCGTCACAACCGGGAGAAATACATTTCTGTAGCTTATGCACCACCCAGTCTGTGGGACTTTGTGACAGCAGCCCGGATGGGTTAGGATAAGTGCAGCAGTCACTTCCTGGATTCAGCTACACGCTTTTAGCCTGAATGAAGAACCACCGTGCTCACCACTCACTGGGCTCTGCCTCTGAGAGGTTCCCTCAGGGGGTCTTGAGTCTCCTCCTGCCTCTCATACTGTGATGGGTAAAGGGCCTGAGCTGCTGCATTGACCTCAGGATGTACAGTGGCTCAAACACCATAGTTTATTTTTAACGTACGTTAAGCCCCAATCAGGTGCTCCTAATGGTGAAGTAGCCCCCCAGACACAGAGATGTGGGGCCTCTGCTTGCTCCCATGGGCAGAAGGGGGTGCGCCTGGGGGTGCACGGGCTGCTTGCTGGGGAGGCAGGGAATGGGCACATACCACTTCCACTTGAGTTCCACGAGCTACAGACTCAGTCATGGGCCATGGCTGCGTGCAAGGGACGCTGGGAAATAGAGAGGAGCTGTGCGCTTAGGAAGAAGAGAAAGAGGACTTGGTAAACCACACCTTGCCGCGCTGAATGTGATCTTGCTCTTTAAAGACAGGATTTGCGTTTCCAAGGGGCCCTTACACAATCCCATTGCTCCATCTGGTATTCAACCCAGAAAAGCCCTGTGCTCCGCTGCTGGAGGAAAACAGGCTGTGCTGTTCTGTGTTCGATGGGCTGTTTAGGGGACCTTCAAGGATAAATTTGGTACCAGGGACTGACTTAGAATCTGGCTCCAGCCCTGACCGGTTTGGCTCAGTGGCTAGAGCGTCGGCCTGCGGACTGAAAGGTCCCAGGTTCCATTCCGGTCAAGGGCATGTACCTTGGTTGCGGGCACATCCCTAGTAGGAGGTGTGTAGGAGGCAGCTGATCGATGTTTCTAACTCTCTCTCTCCCTTCCTCTCTGTAAAAAATCAATAAAATGTATATTTTTAAAAAGTCTCTGGCTCCAGTGCCATAACTCCACTGCATTTCCATCAAGGCCTGTTTTCCTGTCACTGAGGTAGATCCTGTCTGCTTTCCCTGGCTCCAGTGTGAGCCGTAACTCCACTGCATTTCCATCAAGGCCCATTTTCCTGTCACTGAGGTAGATCCTGTCTGCTTCATCATACCATCCATGCTGAGCCCATCCTCATGCACACAGTTTAAAGACCAGCTTCCTCTCCTGCCTTGTAGTATCTCACAGCTTGGTGAGCTGCATGTATAGGGTGCCCCAAAATTCACGCAAGATTTGACATCATACCATCCATGCTGAGCCCATCCTCATGCACACAGTTTAAGGACCAGCTTCCTCTCCTGCCTTATAGTATCTCACAGCTTGGTGAGCTGCGTGTATAGGGTGCAAATTGCAAATCTTGCGTGAATTTTGGGACACCCTATAGCAGTCAGGGTAAGCTAGATTGTACCGCCGTATTAACCCCACCCCCCAGATCTCAGTGATGTAATACAGCAAATATTATTTCTTGCTCCTGCTGCATGTTTACTGTGGGTGAGATGTGCCTCTCCTTCTTGCCATTTTCTCTCTGGGACCCAGGCTGATGGAGCAGCCTCTACATGGGATATTGCTGGTCACCACAGAAAAGGGAAAAGAGGATGGTGATGTCACTCCCCCTTGAGTTTCATTGGCCAGAGCAAGTCATGTGGTCAAGCCTGATCGCCAATGGAGACATCAAGGAAGTCATCCATGGAAATCAGCCCAGACCTCAGGGTGAGACCCGAGATGGCGAGATGGTTTTGGAGTCAGTGGCTGAGAAAGAGGCTGAGTCAGGGAGCAGGGTCCAGGGTGACTCATGATCTGTCCTGAGCAGAGGAAGGGGAGCCGCCCCAGGCAGCTGGGGAGCGGCCAGTGAGGTGGGAAAGGTGGGGTAGGCGGCATCACGGGAACCGGGTGGGAGAGGGGTGGACGCGGAGAACCTACCCCGGGCTAGCGGCGGGGACGTCATCGGCAATGCTGATCTGAGCTGTTTCCATGGAGCATGGGGCGGAGACAAGAGCTAACTGGCGTGGCTTGAGGGATAATGAGAGTGGGGACTGGAAACAGGAATTTGGCTGTGAAGGGAACATGAAGGCGGGTGGCAGCTGGAAGGAATGTGGGGCCAAGGGAGAGTTCACTTTGGTTCTACAAGGAAGAGAGTGGAGCATGTTTGGCTGGTGACAGCGATCCAGGGGAGGAGAACAGGTGGCAGGAGTGCACTCAGGACTTGAGATCGGTGGGACCTAGAGCCCAGGGGAGGCGCTGCCTGCCTTGGGAATAGGAGGGAGAGCGGAGATTTGCTGGGGAGGGGCCGGCCTTCCTGCCCAAGTTACTTGTATTTTCCCAAAGAGGTGAGAGAAAGTGGGCAGGGCTGTGGGGGAGGTGGAGAGGAGAGGGGTGTGAGGAGGTGTCCTGGAGGGGATCTAGCACAAGCTCAAGACGTGTATTCAGAGGGCGGGCACTAGGTCTCCTCGAGATTTGTTGCCATGACTTTAACATGAGATGCGTCAGTGTGTGGGTATGTGGGTGTTCCCCTTCCAGCAACACACAGCTGGTCAGCGTGGGGTGGGGCTTTCCCA